AGATCCTGACGTGGTCACAGACGAAGTTCATGTTGTAATGCTCGCCACAGATATGGTTATCGTCGACGAGCCATTGACAGATCCCAGTCATTCCTCTGGGATCTGCTTCCATGTCAAGGACGACGGGGGTGAAGGCGTCGATTGTGATGTATTTTCTGGTGCCTTTTTTGCCTTTTGAGCGGATGGGGCCGGTTTGTGAGTCCTTATTGGCAGCGCAGGGAGGAGCGGGTAAAGGCAACGATGGTGCAGAAGATGGAAGTGGTTCAGCACGTGCTTTGCCTTTACTCTTGGTTGTGACCACGGCAGCGCATCGATTCGTTGTCATATGGTCTTGGGGAGAGGAAGAAGGCGATAAGGAAAAGGTGGCATTACTCTGGAGATTCCAGGCAGGCACTGACGATTGGGGGAGAGTGGTGCGATTGTGATAGAGGTCGGGCTGCTGAGGCTGAACTGCCGAGGGAAAGGCTGGATAGCCTATTTCGAAATTTGAGTAGTGTCTTTGGGGATAAGGCACATAGCGATGTTGATGAGCATTATACTCGACGTTATCGGCGTACTGGGCGAAATGTGAGAATGGACTAAAGGTATTGTTTTGAGTAGTTTGCGCGGTTTGAGGTGTACAATGGGATTCAGCGCGCGCCTGAAAGGATACGGGAGTGAATGAAGCGGGGGACAGTCCGGAATGGGATTGGTCGCGGTGTATTGTCTATAAAAAGCATTCAGCCACTGCTTCGGCGAGTCAAAACTCACAAGGACGTACTGAAAACTTTCGGCGCTGTATGAAACTCGCCTCAACCTTAGTTTAAACCAGTCAGGAACATCGAGGTGCGTGCGCTCAGGATGATTGAAATTGAAGTGAGCGATGCCGTTCGAAGGTAGTTGAGGTTGTGGTGGAGCTCCTGTACTGGTAGCGTCGGTAGACCAAGCGACGTCTTCAACACGAAAATCGTAGGATTCGATGGGTCCTCCGCTATTCACTGGTTGAGTGGAAGGGGCGCGGGATGAATTCACGACGTTGTTTCTGAAACATCGAGGAACAGGTCAGTAGACAAGAAGTCGATCGAGAGCGGAGGCAGATTACTCACAAGTTCTCAGTATCAAACGCGTTGGAGAAATCGTTCATTTTGGGCAAGACTTCAGAGACGTAGGAAGAAGAAACTGGAGGTGAATGTCGTGGGGTGAGGGAGAGCCGTAGGCTGCCCCTGCCGCATTTGTATCATTTGGAACATTCATAAGCTTGAGAACCAACGCCTTCTGCTTTGACACGAGTATACTTAATTAGGAAATTTGGCAAAAAAAAAATACTGTATTCGGGGACTGGGACAATGAGCAAGATGTGGTTTAGGCCTTGCCGTGGAGCGGCATGATCCGATTTGGTGACGCCATAAACAGCGATGTTTTGGAGCCACTGTCTGGATACCGGTGCTTTCGGAAGCAAATCTAAGAGAACACCAACTACACCAACGATAAATATTGGCCACTGCCATTGAGCGCGCAGTACTAGAACTACGTAGCATTTTAGAGGTTAGGTACAGTCTGATTTGTTACATGTAGACAAATCTACGCATGAAATATTATTCTACCTGTAGATAAATGGTCTGTATCGATGATATAGCAAGGGGTAAGGGGAAGGCTTCAACAAGCGCCTGGTTAGCGCCCAGATTCAGATCTGGTGATACTTGAAATGATCTCGAGCAATAACTATATTCTTCGTTCGTAGCATCGCTCTATCTCTTTGGATAATGTTATTGCACTCATAGTAAAAATAGGAGCCTCATAGGTGGATTCCTTCTAGTTCTTGGCTACTGCAAGCTCCGAGACAACGTTAACTAGTTTTCCGTGCCACTGTCAACATGTAGGTTTTCATCAAGCTAACTGTTATTCTCTATGCACTGACCGTCCTTGAGAATCGGCATTGTGGATGAGGTGGCACTATACCGAAGTGTATGGCACTTATAAGCTCGATTCTTCAATCCTTGTTGCCGACTGCAACCAAACTAGGGCGTGCGAGGCAGACACAACTCTCTCTGCTATACTCATTTCGTTCGATCATCTCAATCGGAAAGCAGAAATCGCAAGAAACGGTCTACCGTTCCCTAGAACGGAAAATATATTATTGACTATCGTCTATCTCTGGAACTTGAAACAAGCTAAGCCGTAGACAAGCGATGGCAAAGCTGGTGTTATTCCATATAGTCGGAGTACATAATCTACGACTCCTCAGATTGATTCGTTTCTAACGAGTAGGATACAGATAAGCACCGTGACCCACAAATACGACATATTCTTCGTCCAATGTTGAAACATACAGACTCGAATGGCTTACTACCAACAACGAATCCAATGAGCCCGAGAATCAAGATAGTCGTCTGAGGAAAAGGAGTCTAGTCACGATGTGACGTTGACCTCAGTGCCGAAGGGTGCCGAGCAAGACACGCCACCTCATAGATTCTGAGAGAAACCACGAATCCAGGAAAAACCACGTTAAACACTCATTATACAAACTAAACACATCCCTACTTATACTTATATCATCACACTATCGTCACCATCATTAACACTGGGTATCAGCATACACCTGAGTCGCGAAGCACTGTACATCACATTCCACTTCAGCACATTCCTCTTCACACAAAGCGGCAACCACTCACGTTATAGTTATCAGCATTAATCAACTTCTGCGACGTCGACAACTGTTGGTTAGTCGGACATCCATAGTTGACATCATCAGTGTCCGATACGGCGTGTGTTAGCTGTGAAGGTGAACATGAATACTGGGCCCAAAAACACGAATACGAGGACGAACCTCATGCAAAGTAGTCCCACCACGAATGTTCCTGCTATTAACTGTAGTCCCTCCACAGAGCGCTTGGTTATCCACTTCATCAAAGAAGATATTGCAGTAGTAGATCTACCGATGCCCAGTTAGTTATCCACCACGTCTATCCTGAGCCAGAAAGGTGAGATACTCACATCAGTGGTAGCAATAACAGTATAAGCAATAACGTTTCCATCACATACGTCCAACTCGTCTTCACAGCTCAACCTGAGGACACGTTTTCAGAAAGAGAATCAAAGAACTGGACCAGGAAACATACACTCTCCCACTATCGTTCTCATTCCTCACACCGTTAACAACATCAAGTACTGCGCTGGCACTGTTGCTACCGAAATAAGCAGTGAAGAGGTCATCACTCGCGCCGTTATCGGAGATGTATTCGGATGCGAGGGTGGCTAGTTCTCTGCTTTCTTCGTAACTATCCTCCGGAGTCAGAGTCGGGTGAAAGAGGAGAAAGGAAAAAACACACCTAGCGGTGATAAAATCTAACTGTGCAGAATCCGTGCACGTTGGTGTAGCGCGTTTGAATGCACTGTTTCTCGCTACGAGGTTATTGGTGATCTCTACTTCGATGGGTTGAGTAGAAACGGTGAAATCCGCGAGAGATGCTTGGTCTTGTTCTTGGCCGACGATATGGAAGTTGGTGTTTGGCTGGAATGAGAATACACCGAGGCCGGAGGATGCAAAGTCGAATAGGGATGCCACTACGAGTATGGGGGTCATACATAGAATTGTCATGGACAGGGAAAGGAACGTACCGTTGTGTGTGACAGAGAGTGTTTCGCCAGGTTGAATAGTCTTGTATGCGTTATCGTTAGACACGGCTACTTGGAGCTGGACAAAATCAACGCCCTCAGTGACACACTCTCATTAAGCATGTCTAGCGCACCTTGACACCAGTAAAAGGCACCGTACTTCCATTTTTCGATACAGCAAACGATCTCGTAGGTAAGTCATCAAGAATCGTTCCGTATTTGAGAAGCTTGATAGCTTCAGCACCGTTGTTGGTCACTTCTGCTGTGAGCGTTAGACCATCGACGGAATCGACAGCGTTGGTGGATGGGCCTGTGACTGTAACGGAGAGGGTATCGGCTCGTTTATCTGGGGATGGGGAGGCTAAGGCGATGCTGAAGAGTGAAGCGGCGAGTGTAGTGGAGAAGCGCATCTTGGGAAGGGAGGCCTTGGAGGTACAAGATGTGGGTAGATGAGCTTTTATACTTCTGAGGTATCGGTCTTCGGGCTTGCAAGAGAGAAAGTTAAAGTAGCTCGTCGGACGTGTATCCATTGAGATGGAATCATGCAGTGTGAGCATGTGTGGTTACACGTTGATGCTCCACAGAAATGCAGTTTGATGAATAACCGAGTCGAGGGAAGACAAATTTGAGAGGACGAATTCGTTGTCATGAGATTATGGTGAATACTGGTCGTACGAGCGACATGTGGTGTAACCCTGCGATGCTCCACTTTGTTGCGGGTGATACATAGGAATGAGGGTGTATACGGTGTCTTGGCAAGGTTAGAACTACGCTGGTATGAACATGATGGCAAGGAACTCTCACCCTGGTGTTTATCCATGTCGAGATAGACCGATTCCACTTGTTTTGCGTTCCAAAGCCATGATTGTAATGACGATAGCCACTCTTCCCAAAGAATAGATGCCATGGAACAAAGCTCGACAGTCATAAAGATGCCCGTTTACGCATAGCAGTAATTTGCAATTTAGAAGCGTTTGACGCAATGCCTCGGAAAAGATATGACAACCATCAGGATGTTGTAGCTTCAAATGCGAGCAGACCCCGAATGTTGTGGAGTGTATAAGCGTGATATCGAGTTTGCCAAGGTTTCTTCGAGTTTGCCGGGTAGAGCAAGCTAATTGCCAAGAGAGTAGAATATATTGAGTTACTGGACACAGGCAATGAGGGAGAGTCAAACGAGGTTTATCGCGAATCCAGCGAACTCGAACATGATGATGGAGCGGAAGCAAGATGCAAAGTTCGGAGCAAGGGGATCGCGATTCAAATCGGCCACAGAGTGCTTCATTTGATGGCCGCTGTGCACCGATTCGGGACAGAAAACGGAGTTCGGAATCCGGAAAGCTCCGCCGCGCCGCGTTGAACCACTATGTCTACTGTTACTGTACAATGCTCTTACAGTACGTCGTTCCCTGGTAGTCTATTTGCTAGTACACGCGCCTGTCATTTGCAGGGATCGCGCGGAAGCTGGGTTCGACTCCCAGCCAGGGAATTATATATCTCCGCCAGTGTTGTACCTTTTGTCATCAATATCGGAGCGGAGCGGCCTCCTTTTCGGACGAAACACGTGACAGTGACCAATGTGACAGCTACGCTTTGCTTTCCATCTCCATCCATCCCGACCTGCCTCGTCCACACAGTTTCTTCTGTTCTGCCTGGAGTCGGCGCAGAATCTCGATGGGCTACAGATCAGAAACGTGAGACCGACCTACCATGGAAAGCAAAATCCATAACAAGGTACGTGTTTTTTTAAACCCTTCGTTTCTCATGCTCACGATGACCTCCCAAGCACAATACCTCTATCGTCGAGGCTCGCTTCAACCCACCAACTTCTCAATTTTCCAAAGGTCACTCCACCGACACGATCACCCTCAGCATTGCACGACGTACGTACTCTAGCCTAAAGTCTTCTCGTGCTGACGTTGACGCAGCAGGATATCTATAGTCACCTCCTCCCTCGCCAACTTTGGTCGCCCAAGACAGAACATCTCTCTTCATCTCTCCTCATTAACGACAACAGCCTTCTGCGAGAAACTACATCTCTTTACTTGTCCTCCGAAACGACACCCACACCTGCACAGCTCGTTCAATCATTCATTCTACTTGGAATCCGGAGTGAAAAGAGTATAGATAATACCTTCAAGGCGTTGAGTCAGGGTGTTTGGGTACACAAATGGAAGCAACGAGGATCTCAGTATGTTTACCTCCCTTTCTTTATTGACAGTGCTAACATGTCGTTCCAGAATCCAGGAGTTCCACCTATGCGCTCCACCGATTTCGCTTTCAGCTATACCCGCACCCTCCGCTTCGGCTTCGGCTTGTCCACGTTCCATCTATACTAGCGACAGGTCAAAATTCCCAGCACCATCTCGACTTCTGCTTCTACCACTTAGCATGAGATATACGGGGCTGGGTCATCTGTGTTTAGGCTACTGGGGCATAAGAATGGGAATTAGGTATGTGTACCTGCTTCTCCTCAACGGGCTAGCGTTGATGTGTCTTTTAGGATAGGATACGTCCCTAAACCCTTCTCAATGAAGAATCTATCTTTCACCCACACCTACTCCTCCATTCGCACGCCCACGCACGCCCATACCAACTGCTTCGGCTCGTTGTCCTGTTGTATAAACCTGGTACCGGTATTATCAGAGGACTTAGGAAGATCAGGAATTGGGCAACCTTCCGCCGCAGTTATTCAATCTCCCTTCGGTATATATAGTCTCCTTCGTCTCAAAACAGATTCTGACGTACTTCTTTGACAGCAGAGAGGGACAACATCGGATGTAACATCGTAGCCTTCCCCGTCTTCTTCCCTGTACCTTGCTTGTACTGTCTGCCAAAAACACTCCATACCTGTGATAGTGCAGACATGTAATACTACGATATCTCCCTGGTAGTATATCGGTTACTACACGCGCCTATCATGTGGAACGCGAGTTCAATCGCTGCGCGAAAGCTAGGTTCGACTCCCGGCCAGGGAGGTTCGCTAATTAGAGCGCGGTTTTTGCGTAGCATTGTGTGGAAGATACCGTGCCGGATCGTAGAGACAGATAAGAGATCACTACAGCAAGCTACGTATCGACGTCGACTCCGTTCCCCATACTCCTTGTCAACGATGTATCGAAGGGATGAACAGCGAGCGCAGTGGGTTCCTGACACCGTCCTTCTGCATTTTTAACGTAAAATAAGTTGGCTTGTCATTTTGTTTCTTGATACGAAATCCTGAGCTGATGCATCCACAATCCCTTGATCCTGTTTGTTAGGCATGCAGAAGAAGGAAGCGTACGATTGAACAGGGGCGTAGAGCGGGATTAGCATTCTATTGGTATCTCGGTTGATCCTGTGCCAATCGAGATGCTTCCACGATAAGATCCTTCTTGCTTCTTTCATGACAATCCTTTTGCTTCGATAACTCGTCACAACATAGGTGCCTAGTCCTTGGTAGTATATCGGTCATCACACGCGCCTGTCTTCCACAGATGAGCAAATGCGAGTGACAGCTGGGCTCGACTCCTAGCCGGGGAGCTTGGGGAAAGACTGAATGTTCTAATCTCCTGCGAGAAGTTCCTCTCATTTTATACCGTTATACTCAATTAAGAACTATCCAAGTATCGAGACCATGTTCACATATTCCTGCATCTTCACCAGATTATCCGCAAACACTGGCAGCACACGCAGCGATGCCAAAATGGCGCGACGTTCACCCGGCTCGGTGGCGCTGGGGCTTCTTCTAATGAATGTGGTTTCCTTGCCCAATACACCAATATGTACTTAGATACAAGACACTGTTCGTCGCGTATATCCAAACAGGAGCACTTTTGATGGTTCCCGATGTCGTACCGACTGTAAACATTATGAGAAACCAGCGGCAGATTAGCTAGATTCAACATTGCTCTTACCATTCCGTTCCGAAGGTTACAATTTTTCACGATGGTCATAGGACGGAAGCGTTCCCTCGCGTGAACTCAGCCTCCGACCTTCATCGCTTCCTCCGTATTCCGGCGGTGCATTCTCTCGTACGAGCCTGTCAACCTCCATTGTCAAGGTGTTGATTCTGGCATACAGCTCTCCACGTGAAGGGCGGTCTGAACCTGCGATTTGGGCAGAGAGTGAGGCTATCTCGTCGTTTCTTCGTTGAACCTCAGTCATATTCGTCGGTATTCGCATCGGTGCAAGGGGTGGTAGTTCGTTGACCGTTGATTCTGGCGAGCCCGTGTCCTGGAGTGGAAAGAGTTCTCGCCATTTGGTTGGTTTCGGCTTCAAATCAGCTGCAAAACCTGTGACGAAAGGTTCAATGCTAGAGGCGATTTCTGCTAGTGTACCGTGGTTTGATCAAGATCCTGGCGATAATTTGGCTATGAAATGTAGTCACCTTCTTTCTTGACTGTGGATCTCTTTCTCCGACAATAGCAGAGACCCCCGGCAATAACCATCACCGAAAGGCTAGCAATTACGATACCAACAATCACTCCAATGGGAAGTGTTACCGGCGACACTGTTGATGAGGAACCTCTGATAAAGGTTGGCTTTTCGTGAATGAATGAGAAGGAGGGTGTGTACGTTATATAGTCGAGATAGAAGTTGGAGCCATCCATGAGGGTTGTGACATTTACTACGAGAATGTGATTGCCTGGACTGAGCGTCGTATTCTCATAGACTTTATAATTGATCATCCAACCTGAAATGTCACCATTGCCGAAAGTAAGATTACCCTGAGGATATCTGCTGCTACTGTTGCTGAGCTCGAAATCAACCTGAGGATAAACAATGCGTTTGATGCTACCATCCATAATAAAGTCCACGGTGTAATTTCCCGAAGGGTCATGCACTCCATAAACAGACAGTGAAGTTCCTGTAGCAGGAATTGAGATTTTTACAGCGTGCCAACAAATGATTTACCTGTAAAGCGGAGCTCAAAGGAATCACCAAGTGTGCGACTGTGATGAACAGTGTGGTTTGCAGGATGATATACAGGGGGTAACCTGGCGTTTTGAAGTCCATGAGGATATACCAGATTCGTGTCCGCTATCCATTCTCCAGTGTACCACAGTTCGTCCTCATTGGCGTCATCAACAAAGATGGTTTTCCTCTCCAAATCGGTGGTGTTTCCAGCTTTGATCAAGGCATAGTCCATGTAACTATCACTCCCAACCAACGCGCGAATCTTGTATCCTTGATCGGAAAGTGGCGGTGATTCATACCAGTATGTTGCTTCGTTGGCCGACGCAGTTAATTGTGCGCTGGTTTCATCATCCAAGTACACCGTAGATCCCAGGGCATATCCATAAAGTGCAATTGATGTTCCTTGAGGAGATTATTTTCGTGAACCATCAATAGAGTCCTTCAGCGATTATTAGGCGACGCACCGTTAAATGACATGTTAAAAGTTGGGGATGCGGATTGACTTGCATTTATCAATGCAGCATTTCCGCCATACCATACTGGATCTTCGGAGTACTGCAGGTTGTCCGCCTTGGAAGGTGAACTACTATCGTCCACATCCACAATCAATGTGACCTGCTGGCTGGCCAGGCTCGACATTTCGGATTGTGAATATTGAGCCACACGATCTACGAGATAGTTGAGGAAAAGCAAACTAGGAGGGCAGACAAGACGGTTGCTCAGGCCGAGTAGAGGCAATGATGGGAATCGAAGTCTGAGCTCCGGAGCCGTGGCTTGTACTTTTATATGGTGAGCAATTTCATCACTCGATCTGGTTTGTGGCTCTATCTTCTCACAATGTTTGTATCCGTGGGTAGCGCACTCAATTTTTAACAGTAGAAGGCAGTGGTCCTTATCTTGTTTCCATCAATTAGTACCGCATATGCTGATGGTTATGATGGTTCACGGTTGGTGATTTGTTACCTGTACCAAATTTGGGATTTGATCAGATCAAGACCGCCAGGAAGGAGAATATGTCTCTTCGATATGTCATTCTACATTTCCGCTCATTGTCTATGAGTTTAACTCCTAACCCCCGGTTCTTTCAGAACACACCATTTCAATACTAGATTCAAGCTGAGTTTTGCCCTATTCCTCTCATAAGTATACACTGAATGGTCAGGATATAGATGCTCTCTATATGCTCCCTTCCTTCAACTCTGCACGCAAAACTCCCCTTATTAACATTAGTGTGACCGTGTAAGGGCGGTTGTTGACGTGTTCTTGAAGAAAGGTATCACAACTTGATCATAACCGTTCATCTCCGTGATTGCACACTGCCATGTCGAAATGCAGGATAATGCGACTATACCATCTTTGGTGAAGTTCAGACGGCAGAGGCTTTTGCAATAGGTCAAAGGTTGTATAGTCTTAGCTTATAATGAATCAACCTGTCCATTGAGCGTACATGAGTCGAGACTATGGTATAGGCTGTATATGACTACGCCACACCGATGACATTGCTAAGAACTATTGCTTATAAGTTGTGCACTAGTGATTGGGAGTGTTGGAGGAGTCCATGTAGCTTCAAAATATTGAAAGCCACGTACCATTCACAAGCGTCGTTATTTTGATACCACTATAGAAAATGTTGAAGCTACATCCACTGTTGACATGTGAGTATATGAAATCCAAAGGCCAATGTCTGAAGGTTGACTATACAAATATAATACATGATTCAAGACCGTAATGATCAATCTGTAAAGCAAGCAGTTTTCAGGAACCAAAAGGTGTCGTACCGTATCAACAACTTTATGACCTTTCACGGGGATCATAAGATGGAAGTGTTCCCGAACCTGAATTTGGCCTCTGACCTGCATCACTCCCTCCATACTCCGGCGGTGCATTTTCTCGCACTAGTCTTTCAACCTCCATCGTGAGCACGTTAATTCTGGCAAATAGCTCTCCGCGAGTGGGATTATCCGAATGTTCCATTTGAACGGAAAGAGCAGTAATCTCCTCGTTCCGTCGTCTAACCTCCATTGTACTCCATGGAGGTGGGAGATGTGGAATTCCTTCGTCCGCTAACTCTGCCGTGTCAGTGCCGTTTTGCGACGGGAACGCTTCGGCCCACTTGCTGGGCTTGGGTTTTGAGCTGACGCCCAGATGCGTCGCAAATGGGTCTACAGTCGAGGCCGTTTCGCCTATCATAAGTTAATATACAAAGAGTTGTCAGAAAGAATTCAGGAAAGACTCACTCTCTTTCCTCGATGCCATTCTCCTTCTCCGAAAAAAGAACAGGAGTCCAGGAACGAGTAGTAATAAGACGCCACCAATTGCTATGCCTATAATCGCTCCAATGGGGAGGCGTGCCCCTCGTGGTGTTTGTTGACTATCGGAACCCCTGATGAACGTAGGCTTCTCGTTCACGGAAGCAAAAGAGGGTTTGTATGTGATGTAGTCAAGGTTAAAGTCAGTCCCAAAGCCGCCTGGTGTGATGCTGGTGACGTTGACAACGAGGGCGTGATTCCCGGGACTGAGCACTGTGTTTTCATAGAAAACATGATGCATTAAATATCCTGAATACCCTTCTGGAGGTGTATAGTCTTGAGGGTAAGTTTTGCGTTGGATGTTACCATCCATGCTAAAGTCCAAGGTGTAATTCCCTGTAATATAGATCCCATGCACTGATATTGAGGTTCCTGTAAGACAGCATGTGAGGGCAGTAGTACATGCATATGGGCCTGTTACGAACCCGAGAAACGAAACTCAAAGGAATCACCGGTTGTGTTACTTCGATGAAGAGTACGGTCTGCAGCCTGGTAGCCATAAGGCGCGTCTTTGCTCTCAACTGGGTACCACACATTCAGCTCTGTATTCCACTGTCCAGAATACCATATTTCGTCTTCCTTGGAGTCGTCCACGAAAATGGTTTCTTCGGAGAGGATATTGTTCTGTCCAGCCATGATGAGGACGTAATCAAGGAATGTGTCGTTAGTGAAATGTGCCGAAAGTGTGTGTTCTCCGTCTGGAAGCGGTGAAGATTGGTACCAATATGTAGCTCCCGGTAGAGACATGCTGAGTGTACCATAGTCAAACC